CACGCCCTGATCATTGTGTGCATATCCGGATGTACGTTTTACCTGCTGGAGCGCGCCGCCTCTAGCAAGACTCCGTCCTATCGCAAGAGTAACTCATACGCCGCGCGGTGAATAGCATTCGGCAGTCTGACAGCCTGTGGAGCGTCCACGGTTACCTGCTGGAGCGTGCCGCCTCTAGCAAGACTCCGTCCTATCGCAAGAGTAACTCATACGCCGCGCGGTGAATAGCATTCGGCAGCCTGACAGCCTGTGGAGCGTCCACGGTTACCTGCTGGAGCGCACCGCCTCTAGCAAGACTCCGTCCTATCGCAAGAGTAACTCATACGCCGCGCGGTAAATAGCATTCGGCAGCCTGACAGCCTGTGGAGCGTCCACGGTTACCTGCTGGAGCGTGCCGCCTCTAACAAGACTCCGTCCTATCGCAAGAGTAACCTGTACGCCGTGCGGTGAATACCATTCAGCAGCCTGACGGCTTGTGGACCGTCCACGGTTACCTGCTGGAGCGTGCCGCCTCTAGCAAGACTCCGCCCTATCGCAAGAGTAACCCGTATGCGGTGCGGTGAATACCATTCAGCAGCCTGACAGCCGTTGCAGCGTCCGCGGAAGATGAGAGCGATATGCTGGATGCCGGGTCATTTTCGTCAGCCGGCGACCGAGCCGGCGCCGCCGCGATACGCGGGACGCAAACAAGTCGCTACCGCCGTTCACACTTGACTGTCAGGAGCTGAACCAGGCCGTCACGGCCCATTTGCGGCGCAAGTGGCAACGGCGACTCAACAAGCCCACGGCCGTGCAGTGCCAGATGGCCGCGATGAGCGCGGGCGGGTGTCCATGGCGCTGGCGGTGTGCTGCGGTCGGATGAGGTGGTCTGCTGTTGGCTGCCTCGTGGTCCGCGCTGGCTCCGCCACGCCCTTCTCGGGCTCGTGGCGGAGACGGGCTCGTCTGCCGGCGCCGGGCTCACGCGTTATCGTGTGACACGGTATCGATGTATTTGTGGTCGCGTGTTGCGGGATAGGCGTGATGTCTCTCGGCTAGGGTTGACATCACGCCAGACGAGCGAGCCCGGCAGGACTGAATAGAACTTAATCACTGAGATCGTACCATTCGGAGTGGCGGTCGTTGCTTGTCTGCAGCGGCGTTAGTGTCCTCGTTTAATGCGGGTGTGTCAGCGTATGTGATTCGCACACCTAGCTAGTCGGTTAGTCCTGCTATTTTTTTTTTTTGGGGGGGGGGGCAGTGCGATGCATGACCGAATGGTGGGTCACCACGCCGCAAAATGTTACCTTCGACACTCGTGAAGAAGATTTCGCAGGTTTCATATTGCAGCACTGTGGCCGATAGCACGCCATCGCAGCTGGTTCGGAAGAGAGGTTTTGCGCGCCTTATCACACCGCTCACGGAACGGCCTAGCACTGTGTGCCAACCGCATTCCAGCGGTGTTCTAGTAATGAGACCTGGCGGGGACCCTGCAGTGGACCCGGTGTCTAAGAGCTTCGTGCCGCGATGTGTCACGGGCGGCGGCGGTGGCATGCGGCGCGTAATGTACGGCCCACAGACGTCACGAGGTGCGGCACGCGCGTGTGGAGCCGCGCCGCTGAACAGCCGCACCGATCGCGGCCGGCGGAAGCGGCGGCGCAGGGCAGGCAGCCCCGCCCGCCGCGCCTCATTCACTAGAAATTGATGACGTTAGCCCTTTGGCGGTGTATGAAAAGGACTGAGGTAAAAATCGCGCTCTCCCCCCCCCCCCCACACCTCAGAGGGATGTACGGTCATCGATTCCGGTGGAGGCCAAGGTCGCTCGTGGTCTGTCAGTGGCGTTCGGCGGGAACTGGTCTTGCCGCTTGCGGCGGCTCGCGCGCGGTCCAGCACCCTTCGTAACCGGGAGCAGTTGTCATCGCCCGTTCCCCAGACCGACCGGCGTCTCTACCACGGACAGCTATAGAAGTTAATCACGGCAGTCGCTGAATTGGAACTGGGCTGAGGCGCTGGGCGCTCAGCAACCGTGCGCCTCGTCCGTTCCCACCACCCGACGATCAAATAACAGAAAATCGCGCTGGGGAGACGAACGCGGCGCGGCGTGAACGCCCGACCGTGGGAGAACGGCCGGTGCCGCCGTCCAGCGTTGGGTTACGCCGCGCGCGCACGTGTGCCGCCGCGAGCGCGGTGCGTGACGCGACCGACGGGCCGCGAGCGTGCCGCGAGACGCGACGGGTCCGGCGGCGAACGTGCCGACGTTACAGGTGCGGTCAGCCCGTCTGCCGCTGAGTCAGCGGCGCCGAGTGGGGCAGCTGCGGGGTCACCCCGTGGCCCGGCCTCGGCCCCTGGCCGCCCGGCCCCTCGCCAGACGAAGGCCTTTGACTGAAGCGTGCTCCCAGCCATTGAGAACCTGAAGCAGAGCCTGGGGATGGAGCGCCATGCGGTTGAACGAGATCCACCAGGTGTGAGCTGCTGTCATGTAGCTCCTCATGCTGACGCAGCACACGAGGTCAAGCCGGTTCATGCGGATGAATATGCAGATCGGGGTGCGTTGGTGACATGAATACACTTGGACAGCCTACGACCGATTCGGATAAGTGTCCTCCGCGTAGTTCGTGGCGTACTGCACATCGCCACTCGGTTCGTGTGTCGCGATGGGCGGGGGTCGGGCCATATTGGCAGATTATGGTCAACGATCGGGCCGCATTAAGGTCGGGATCCGAATCAATATTTAGAGTAACTTGGACAGATTCGGCTAACTGCTGGCGGTAATAGTTTGTAAATTGCTGCTGGCAGTCGGTAGGTATTTGCGACCAGCCACGTAGTGGACGTGTGGGTGCCGGTGGCGTAGTGGATAACGCGTCTGCGTGAACTACTGCGCGTCTGGGAAACCAGAGGTACGGGGTTCAATTCCCCGCGGTGCCCGTCCTTCCTGCCAGGGTGAGAGGCAGTGATGCGACATAGCCTCAGCAGCTGCGTGCGTCGTAAAGCCTCAATGACGTCGACATCGACAGTGGACTTGAACAATGCTAAAACTGTGTTCGCATTGTCGCTACCGTCTTGAGCATGTTGCGAACGCTCAAGGCGAAAAGTGTGTCGTAAAGTGGCCGTAACTCCACATCAGACAAGCCAATGACCCGTATGCCCCAGAAGTCGCTCGTCGGGTAGAATATGAAGGCTTCCATTCACGTAACCATGTACAGGTTGTGGAATGCGTCCATGGGAAGCACCAAAAACCGGGAATTATCCGCGCGCACCTCCGGCAATACCTTTGTCTCCTGAACTCCATACTGGAGATGGTTACATAATGTGATAAATGGAGAGGAAATGAGCTACGAATATTGGATTTTGCTCTGGGGCCGTAATGTCATGGGGCTTGAGGTTTTAAGTGCGTGGGACTCACACTCGGCCTGTGATTAAGTGTTAACGTATGTGAGTGACAGGCTACAGTTTTCACGGACTGCTGTCAAAAGCTCTGCCAAAAAGCATATCCAGGGCGTTCTCTGAGGCTGTGTTGAAAGCTTCGTCAAGCATGCGCAAATTTTACCCTTATCTTTTTGCGAATTGTTGTTTAGATTCAGCGGTATATGCATTTCAGACCATTAACCACCGTTTTCGTTGCTGCCGCCCTATTCTCGCCCGCTCGTCCGTGCCACAACTGCGGCCGATTGTTGGTCGCCCTTGGGTGGCATGCCGGCTCCTGTTGAGCACAGAAGCCTGGTGTGATGGTGGGCGGAGTGAGCGCGGGTATTCCGTCCCCTTAATGCCCCTTATTAATTAACTTAATGACGTCGTGGCTGGTAACTACCACTCGAGCCCATAACAGACTGTCTGAAGCAGGACACATGCTATTTTTGGAGGGCAGTGACAAACCGCACGCGCCAAGCCGCAGGACCCATTGATCGGTTCGTCACGTGACGGTCTGGACTGGTGACGCGTGCCGGCGTACTCCGCTGGCGCTGGTGTGATGACGCGTCGGTGGCTGATCCCGGGCGGACGCCGGCCGTCGCCGACAGGCGGGTGGCCGGCGGGGAGCCCGCGCTCCGGCGCCGGCAGCTCACGGCCGGCCGTGCGGCCCCAGCGCCGTTTGGTGCTGTTTGCTGCAGCGTGGCTGGGCGGTGCCCTCCAGCTGACCAGGAAGGTGGCGGCGGCACAACGCGACGTGGTGGGCTTGTGATAAAGTGAAGTCGGCAGCGCGCCACCGGTGTTCGGTGGCGCCGGACGCAGTCAGCGACCTGTGACGGGTGGCCCGGGATGCTTGCGCTGTTTCAGCTGCAGTTGCGGCCTGTGGTCCTCTCCCGCGCACAGTTCGCGCTGTGTGGCTTGCAGCTGTCGTGCTATCTGCGCCCCGGCTATGCCTTTAGTCCTGTCCCGTGGAGGGAGCCTCTGAAATGGAAGGAGGTTGAACTAGTGTTGTCCAGGCGAAATGGGGGGGGGGGGGGGGGGCGGGGCTGTATCGCAGCTGGAGCGACGTTCAGTAACCCGCCTGTGATGACTTCCCCAGCGCAAGTGTTGTCGCGAAGGACTCAGCTGACGCCCCTTGTTGCTATGCTATCCCCGGTGACGTTTGTGTTTGTCTGGCCGCGTTGTGGAACGCTTGTGGTGGTGCTCTCAGTGCAGCGTGGCGACCCGCTCGGCAGTTGACAGCCCTGTCTCCGAGGTGGCGCGTACCCGCCTGGGCCTCGTTGCCTCCCCCCCCCCCCCCATTCCCGTGTCTCCGGTGGCCCGCGCTCCCCCTCAGCGGCTGCTAACCACGCCGTCTGCCCCGTCTCGGCCTCCATCGGCGCCCCCCCCCCCCGCCCCTCTCCCCCCAGTACCCGCCTGGGCCTCGTTGCCTCCCACCCCCCCCCCCATTCCCGTGTCTCCGGTGGCCCGCGCTCCCCCTCAGCGGCTGCTAACCACGCCGTCTGCCCTGTCTCGGCCTCCATCGGCGCCCCCCCCCCGCCCCTCTCCCCCCAGTCCCGTCTCCGGCGCCCTGTGCCCCGTCTGAGCCGCTGCTAACCCCCGCCGTCTGCCCCGGCCAGGTGGAGTTCTCTGACCGGGCCGAGTTCGAGGTGATGGACGTGCCGGACGGCGGCGGCACCAGCTACCCGGCGGCCGGCGAGCTGTGCGACAGCCGGCCGCCGTCGTCGCCCAGCGGCCTCGACAAGGGCGCGCTGTACGAGTCGCCCTGCTCGCCCGACCGCCAGTTCTGCTCGTCCACCACGCTGAGCGAGGGCGTGCAGTTCGAGGTGCGAGCTCGCGCGAAGTCGTCCGGCGGCGTCGGCCCGGTGCTCCGGTGCGGAGCTCTGAGCCGGTGCTCCGGCCCGGTGCTCTGAACCAGCCGCTGGAGCCGTGCCGAGGGCGACTCTGCTGGAGATTCGTGGAGCACGGCCGACACCGCCAGCGCGGCAGCCGTGATAGCAGCGTTTTATACTGGCTCGACATTGTTTGTGTGTTCATGTGAGCGGTGCTTGGCGCGGTGGTAGGTGCTGGGCTCTTGGTTGGTCGAGGCTCGCGATTGATTACGCGTTGCTTTTTTGCTGTGATTGGGGCGAAATCCCGCAAGCGCTGCCACGTGCGTCGAACATGCCCTAGACGACTTTGGGAAGCCACTTGCGCGTGGTCTACCAGATCCCCGCTGAATCACAACGTATCGACCGGCTTCTTGCGTCTCTTTTTCCCGGCTGGTCGCGGCGCGAGGCGCCATTGATCGGTGCTGTATTGTGCGTCGATGCCGCCCTGCTGTCGTCGCCTGCCCGCGCCAATACTGAGTGCGCTCCGCTCCGCCCAGGTGCGCGGCGAGGACGACGCGCCCAAGCGGACTTGCCTGGTGTGCGGTGACGTGGCCAGCGGCTTCCACTACGGCGTCGCCAGCTGCGAGGCCTGCAAGGCCTTCTTCAAGCGCACCATACAGGGTGAGCGCGCGGCGTGCGGCTGGTGATGAGAAGCCCGGGCCGTTGGAATGTCCGATGATCTGTTTCTAGGTTGATGGAAGTTTTGCTTGGGTCTTCGACCACGGACAGCTCAGCATCGTGAGTGGTTGGCGCAGGTAGCCAGGTGTGCGCGTGCTGAGAGATCCACTGTTCCGTTAGTGTAGGCTTTTCACCCATGCTATCCGTGCACACCAGCAGCGTATACCGTGTAGAAGCCTGCGGAAGTTTTCGGCGAGCTTCCTTGTGTCCGCCCGGACACACCTGACGTGCTGTGGAGGTTCTGCTGACCTGGGGGAGCACCTCCGTCGTTCCGGCGCGCCAGTCCCATCTGCGGCCGTGGCGCGTGTCAGCGCCGATGCTGCTCCGTGTCGACACGCCGACATTGAGCGGCTCCTGACGGCGCCCCTCTGCCGGGCCGGCAATGTGTCGGCCAGCGGCGGCCGGAGCGGGGCCCCCGCTGACGCCCGGCGGTGCCGCGTCCGTTGCAGGTAACATTGAGTACACGTGTCCGGCCAACAACGACTGCGAGATCAACAAGCGCAGGCGGAAGGCCTGCCAGGCGTGCAGGTATGTGCCGGACGTCGCAGCGGGCCACGCGCCTCGTCCTGGCCAGGGCGGGCAGGCTGCGTGATCGGTGTGTTCGTGCGAGCGGGGCGTGTGCGCGGGGGCGCGTGGCGAGTGTGGTTGCGGCCGCTTACCCGGGCGTGTGCGTGCGTGTGTGGATGAGAGGAGCGTGAGCCTGCGGGCACGTGTGGTGACTGTTCGTGCAGTCGGTCCGCTTGACGGCAGATTGAACTGTGTGTAGTGATTTCGTGTAGTCGTTCCGCTTGACGACAGATTGAGCAGTGTGTAGTGACTGTTCGTGTAGTCGGTTCGCTTGACGACAGATAGAGCAGTGTGTAGTGACTGTTCGTGTAGTCGGTTCGCTTGATGGCAGATTGAACTGTGTGTGGTGACTTCGTGTAGTCGTTCCGCTTGACGACAGATTGAGCAGTGTGTAGTGACCGTTCGTGCAGCCGGTCCGCTTGACGACAGATTGAGCTGTGTGTAGCGACTGTTCGTGCAGTCGTTCCGCTTGACGACAGATTGAGCAGTGTGTAATGACTGTTCATGCAGTCGGCCCACTTGACGGCAGATTGAGCTGCGTGTAGTGACTGTTCGTGCAGTCGGTCCCTCGACGAGAGATTGAGCTGATAGGATGGGCTGTGGATTCATTACAACGGGTGTGGAAGGTGCAGTTCCGCCGCCGCTCCCGCTCCGACCTCCACTCGGCCCGTACGGGGTGGAGTGGCCTGGCTCGGCCCCGCAACGGAGAGGCGTGTCCAAGAGTCTGGCTAACCGCTGCAGTCCTATTAAGAGTGTATTCGGCCGCGGTGGCTACTGGTCCCACATTAGGCAGGCGGCCCGAGTTTCCCCCGTCACTGCTCCAGTTCGGAGCCCACGCAGTCTGTGCGCGTGTTCAACACTCCGTAGCTGGCCCCGCCTCCCGCCCTCGCCCCCCGCACGGGTGCAGCCGGCCGGCGCGGTCTCCAGGGGCGTCACCGTGGCGCGGCGCGCCTGCAGGACGGCGCCACACCACCCATCACGCGGCCGTGTCGGCGTCATCACGTCGGCTCCGCCCGGCGCTGGCGGGGGCCGCCCGCGCACCTGTCCGCCCGCCGCGCTCGACCTGGGCACCATGTCGCGGGGTGTGTCGCAGATCGCCGCAAGGCGAGGGTGGACAGCGCGGTGTCTGCCCGTGGCTGATCGGCGACGCTGACGCGCGCTGGGTGGCGAGCGCCGCGTGCTGAGAGCCCGGCGCGTCACTGCTGCGCCGTCGTCAGCCGGCGGTCGGACCCGTGGAGGGGAGCGACGTGCGGGCGACGCTAACGGCTCGGCACCGCTCGGAGGTCGCTGCTGGAACGGTCTGCTGGTCAGGGGCGGCAGGCAGCGGGCGCAGCTCCCAGGCCGCGGCGCCCGCGGACGCCCGTTGCGATGTATCGGCCGGAGGGCGCCGACGACGGACCGCGCAGCTGGCGGCGGCAGAGGCGTGCGTCCAGGCGGCGCCAGTCGTCGCCTCCGACCAGGGCGGAGCTCGGGGCAGGGGTGGCGCGCAACGGCCTGCGCCGTCGCCAGGAAACTGCTGTGGCAATGTCAGCTGGTTGGTGACGAATCAGGTCGGCGTGGAGCGCATGGGGCGCTGCGCTGTATCGTTATGGACGCGCGGCCGGTTAAATGGGTTGCGGCGCAGTGCCAGGATTTGATTTAAGTGCGAACGGCTGCTGTCGATCGCTAGATCAAGTCGTGTATCATGGATCAATCAAGTTAGCATTCAGGTGTGGACACGGTGTTCTGCAATTATCCTCGTTCACTGTCGACATGATTGGCTTCAAACATCCCAAACACCAGTTTTGTCTTCTTTGTCAAACACAGGCCGTCTTAGTTTCGTTTTGTCTTCAGCGCGTCGTACCGGCTCCGATCTAGTTGGTAATTTCGCATTGCCATTGCGCTCTCAAGTGCTCTCGGTGATGCTGAGACATGTCTCAGATGCGCCTCGCCTTCGACTGGCAGCATCTCGTCCCCGGGCATGAGTAGCTGCAGACTGCTGTCCAACAATTTTGTTCAACTAGCGTTCATGAGCTTCTGGTTTTGCTGCCGGGCGATGACGTTCGTAGGCGCGACAGACCGAGCCATTAGTCACTGCCAGCGGGGATCCGGCTTATTAAGTAACGCCTGGGGATGCGTGGAGCAGGACGACCTCTCGTGGCCGCATGAGCGGAACGGTGGCGCGCGTCTCCTTCCGGCGGGTGGTAACGGTAAGCCCGACCGGCGGCTGGTGACTCACTGTTGACGGATATAGCGCCTGCTGTCCCCGCGAGGACGCGACGATCCGGGTCGCGTCGGTCGAGGTCGAGTCGATCTGGGTCGGGTCGGCGATGACAGGAGGCTCAGTTGATGTGGTGACGGTGACGTGGCACGCACGCCACTGCCCCCCCCCCCCCCCCTCCCCAGGACGCTGTCTACCGCATCCCGCCGGGGCGCGGGGGGGGGGGAGGTCAGGCACTTGTTCCGTGGGACCCCAGCCTGCCGCGCGGTTTCTGCAGGAAATGACTTCAGTGGAACTCACGGGAGCTCCGCTGCAGTGACGCGACTGCCAGAGTTTGTCCCGGGCTGCGGGCGTGAACTTCCGCGTTGTACTTTCGTTTGGCTAAGTACGTGATGTGGGCGGCTCCGTTCGGTAGGAGCTGGTCAGGACTCGCTGTTCTTCCCATGTGCACTGGGGTTTGATGAAGCTGGGCTTGTGTCCGCGCTTTGCTGGAAAGGCTTTGCTGTGCGTTGCGTGCTTGGATGTCTTTGTTCACGGTTGGATGGGATTTGATGTAGCTGGTCGTTGGCGCTGAAGCCTCCTGCATGTAACACCCCGCAAGTGGCCGGGCCACGATTGGACGGATGTTGAGTCGTAGTGAAGGCCGTCGCGCAGCTGTATTGTGGAGCGCCAGACGTCGGCGCGAGCAGTCTGACTCGGTCAGCGCCGGCGAGCCCCAGCCATGCGGCCGCCAAGTGACTGAGCGATGCACGCGGCGCCTACCGTAACAGTATTGTGGGCAGGACCGCGGCCGAACGCTCCTAAACTGTTTCGCTGTCACCAGCTGTGCGCGCGCGCGTGTGTGTGCGTGTGTGCGTGTGGGTGGTTGGGTGGGTGGGTGTGCGCATGGGTGTAGGTGTGGGTTTGAATCTGAGTCTGAGTCTGGGTCTGGTCTGGTCTGGTCTGGTCTGGCTGACATCTCTGTTGATGATGCGACGTTTGCGAGCCAAAGTGACCGTTGACCTGCGGAGGTCGAAGCCGTGTGCAGGCGCTGGCTGGTCGGCCTCTCAACACACTGTGACGTCTGCGTCGTCTGGCGAACCCCAGACCTGCCGAGTGCGTACCGTCCCAGGCCGGAGTGTCGCTCTGGTACGTCCCGGACCCGCCGGGCGCGTGCCGTCCCGGGCTGGAGTGTCGCTCTGGTACGTCAGGGAGCCGCTGAGCGCGTGCCGTCCCGGGCCGGAGTGTCGCTCTGGTACGTCAGGGAGCCGCCGAGCGCGTGCCGTCCCGGGCCGGAGTGTCGCTCTGGTACGTCCCGGACCCGCCGAGCGCGTGCCGTCCCGGGCCGGAGTGTCGCTCTGGTACGTCAGGGAGCCGCTGAGCGCGTGCCGTCCCGGGCCGGAGTGTCGCTCTGGTACGTTCCGGACCCGCCGGGCGCGTGCCGTCCCGGGCCTGAGTGTCGCTCTGGTACGTCAGGGAGCTGCCGAGCTTGCCCCGTCAGGCGGACCGAGCCGAGCGCACCGGCTCGGTGGCCCGCGCGCGGCGACACCTCCGCTGACCGCGCGCCCCCTCTGGCAGGTTCCAGAAGTGTCTCAAAGTCGGCATGCTGAAGGAGGGGGTACGACTGGACCGCGTGCGCGGCGGCCGGCAAAAGTACAGGAGGAATCCAGAGCCACCGTATCAAATGCACTCGGTGCAGGTGAAAAAGCCGTCGCTAGAAGGTGAGACGGCCCGGCCCTGGCTCGGCGTCTGCAGCCGACTGATATTACCTCAGCACGCAATCGATAGTTGAGCAGTTGATGCTTTCGCCGGCACCCGACGAGCGTTTGTTAATGGCGTTCGTGATCAGTCGTCATGTGCCATTGGTCATTGGGGTGCCATCGTGTGGCTGCCAGGGAAGATGTGACGCGCAGACCGCATATTTATGGTGTGCTGGTGCGCACTTTTGTATGCCTTTGTTTAATCAGTCGCATCCGAATTAGTCCAAACGCGGGTTTTCTGCATGCATGTGTTAATTGCCACGCAAATAGCGTACATTTGAAACAGCCTGAAATTCCGGATGTTTGCAAGCATGTGAGAGCGTGTCATCTTCAGTAAGCGTCTCCTAGCACTACAAGGCGGAGCAAGTAGTGTGATCAGCGGCCTCCCCTTTTGACTCATTTTACGCAATTTTGCGGTGGCGCACGGTGGGGTAATTGGTAATTGGCGTAATAAATACGGTGGCGCACGACCGACCTCGGTGACAGATGTCGCGCAAAGGTCGCTGGCGCCTGTGAGATCCGAGCGGGCTGGCGGACCGCTGCTTCACACGGCGTCCGACAGACGGCGCTGCGGTGCCTGTGCGGCTGCGCAGCTCTCGCCGTGCTGTCCGCGGCCGGCCTCATCGGCTGTCATCATCCGCTCTTCTTCCGTAGTGTATTGCCTTACTCGGCGGCTGAATGGGTTCACCACTCGCACCGACCACTCGACACAGGGCACACGGCCGCGGCACCCGGCGCACCGCGAGCAGCCGGAGCTCTGTATGGTGTGACATCACCTGACCTCAGCTGACCTCACCTGACCGTTTGTGGCCCCTATGGCTGGTCCGGCAGACAACACGCTGCTGCGGCATCTGATGAAGTACGAGCAGCCGGTGCCGAGCGTGCCGCCCGACCGGTCGATCCCCGACCTCGAGTACCGCACCGTCTCGGCGCTCGCCTACCTCTTCGACAAGGAGCTGGGCAACTTCATCGGATGGGCCAAACAGCTGCCCGGTGAGGGGGCCCGATGCTTGGGAAGGGGAGGAAGGGGTCTGGACTGCAGGATGCTGGCATAGTGGAGAGGTAGGGAGCGTAGAGTGGATGGCAGTGGGTTACGAAACTCGTGGTGATGGATTACGCGTCGCTTTTTGATACGACTTGCGCATTTTCTGACATGGGCGTGGACAGTTTCCTTGCTCTTCAGTCGGTCGAAATGCGTTGTTTATTTTTATTCAACGTAAGATTTATACCGTGCGTGGTTCGTCTTTGGGTAGAGTGATCCGTCGCAGATTCAGTACTATCCTGAATGTCACTGGTGATATGCATACATGCTAGGGGAGATTCAAGCAAACCATCACTCGGCGGCTTGATACGCCATCGCCAGGTCAGTTAGGTCTTGACCCCCCCCCCCCCTCCATCATGCATGTATCACCCGTCCCCCCTCCCCCCCCCCCCGCCAGCGTCGTCTCGCATGTCCCCGGCGCGTGCGTGGCTCTGACCTCGCTCCCGCCGGCAGGCTTCGGCAACCTGGAGCTCAACGACCAGATGAACCTGCTGCAGAGCTCGTGGGTGGAGGTGCTGACGCTGTGCTTCGCCTACCGCTCGCTGGCCGAGGGCGCGTCGGCCGGCGACGCCAGCCCGCCGGCGCGGCCGCAGCTGACGTTCGCGCGCGACCTCACCCTCGAGGAGAAGGTGGCGCGCGACTGCGGCCTCGAGCAGGTGTTCCTGCAGGTGAGCACGCCGCGTGGAGCGGCGGCCGGGCGCACCGAGGGACGCTGGGGTGGATGGATGGAGGGCAGATGGCGGCGCAGGGAGGCGTCGAAGTGGGTGGTGCCGCCCGGCTGTCGGGCTGCCGTGGAGGGGCGGGGCGGTGAGGTGGTGGAGGAGCGGAGGCGGGGGCTCTGGGCGGCGGGGTGGTGATGAGTGTGGCGCTGGGAGGCGGCAGGGCGGTGCGGCTGGGGCCCGCTCGCGCCACGGGAGCCGTTGCGCGAGGCTGGCCTGGCGTGGGGAGGCGGATCGGAAACCGGAGGGCAGCGGGAGACGCGAGCGTGCACCGAACGTAAGAAGGCGAACAACAACCACCTGGCCAGGGTGGAATACGACTGATAGATGTTTGACGCCGCAGAGCGAGCTTGTCGACTTTGACGCGGTCGGAGAGCGGGCGCAGAGATGCAGGACAGTGGAGATGTACTACAGCAGACTCCCACTCGCAACACGAGGATAGGCGGCGCCACCGACTGGCTCGGAGATGCCCCGCGCTGTGACGGTCGAGTTGTGCAGCGACTTCGCAGCGATGAAGGCTACGCTCTTGCGTCCACGTCCAGCCTTGGTGCCCCTCTTCGGGCGGTCAGAAGGCGGGGGTTCGACCATGCCGAGGGCTGAATTGACGCCGTCCTAGGCGGTAATAGGTTTGAGGCCTGGGCGTACTGTTTGGTGCTCTGCCGAACAATATGGCGCTGTAAGGGGAAAAATGCGCTCGGGCATAAGTCCACCCTGATTTGGCGTCAGTTTTGGCGTTGCATATTGGCTGAACACTGGAAATCCGTACATTGTCCAGATGAACTATTCTTTTGACTGGCAGCAACCTTCGTTGAAGCGTCGCGCTTAACGCCGCCACTCAAATGTCCACCTCTCGTCTGCGTCGCCTTTGCCTGGCTCATCAGATGAAAAGGCATGCCGGGGCGCTGTCCCTGGATTTCGGTATTGTCATTTCTCAGAAGGACTTTGTGCTACCATTAAAAACAAATGTCGTGTTTGGCCGTGGATAAATAAATTATTTTCATTAGGTGGCTCGAAGGATAGCAATCAGAGGTTTTCGAATTTAAAGTCCTGCGCCAAAATCTATGGAGGTCATACAACTTTGACCAGCTCTCACGAAACATCGTTAGTTTAAGGCATCGAAAGCAAAATGGCTCACGGCCGGACATGAATCCTTTGACAAGTGGAAGACGACCGGCAGCACGTCATTGCGTGCCAGCTAACCCCGTTTTATTGCGAGAAAAGGTCACAAACAACATTTTCCATTGTTGTCAAGGAGACACGCCCTTTCTGGGCGCCATGACAGCGCGTTCCTCTTGTCCTCGTACGACGCGAGTCAGGCGAGTAAGGCGCCATTGTACTGCAAGTCATGTTGATAGTCGCTAGGAACGCCTTCAATGGCGCCATATGTGGAAAATATCCGAATGTTGCTCGGATGTTTGTGGTCATTGAAGAATGGAAGAAAGGCTATTTGAGGGGAATCATTGCTTCTCAAATGGCGCACGGGCACCCACAAACATTCGAATGATAAAAGGATGCTGATAACGTACTAGTACAGGACAGTTTAGTCTTTTGACTATCAAAATGTGTCATGATTTAATGTTTTCTATTTCCAGGGATGTAATAAGTCTAGGGCGAGTGCCAAAGCGGCAATTGTCTTTAGACGTCTTACAGCGCCTTGCGGTATCCCTAGGTGCCATCATGTTGACTTTCCACTCTTTCAGCTCATTCCTGGGAGCCTAAGCTTCCCGTCGTTGATGGAAAACAGCGAGTGCTGCAATATTTTTCGGCATTTTAAGCAACTCTTTGTAGGAACTGTCTTTCCGCTATCTGTCGGCGGGGCCAGACAAAGATCAGAAGGAGATTGCGCCGAGTTTTAAAAATCCGGCAATAACAAACAGTCGGCAGTCGCTGCCACGTCACCTTTGGCACCTGGAAAAGTGGCTCCACTCCTGTGTGACGCCATTACAACAGCTCAGCTGAATACAAGATCGCGAAAATGGCAAATGTCCAGAATCTTTAAGAGTCAAGGGTCTTTGAGAGTCTGGACCTTCAAGAAGAACCTCTCCTCGGGTTAGCATACACCTTAAAAGGGCCTCCCTTGGAAGAGGAAAGGGCTCTCACGTCTTGCGCATCTTTAAAACAGCCTCGCCCAGGAGCAAGTGTAAAAATTGAACGCCTCTTGAAGTACTTATATTGCCTCCAAAGAGGCCATGTTTGCTAAATATGGGGGCCTCTCTCAGAGTCAGGAGCGTTGATCAGAGCCTTCCGGGGCCCAAGGGCCATCCGCGCCTTTTCAAGGTAACGGAACGAAAAAAGCCAATTGAAGTCACATCCAAGGTTGATGCAAGCCTGGTTAGCATTGGTTCGTAAGATGTAAGTCGTAGGGAGCTCAGTCTCATCTTAGGGGGCGGCAGGCCATCGGGCTCTCCGAAAAAATTGGCTGTGCGTGTTCTACTGTTATGGAAAACCTATGGCCCGGTGTCATAGCTTGTTGTTTTATATGTCAAAGTTCTAAGGAGCGATGTCGAGGAGTCATCAGACCATGTGACAATAAGTGCATTGGAAAAGGTGCCTTTGCGAAAAGGATGGTATGCCGTTTGTCGGGACATGCCAAACTACCTTCCCACAGACGGCGCCACAGATAGGTGCCACAGCTGACAGGACCCTGCAGCTGACGTTTTACAGCTGAACGGCTGTAAAACGTCAGTGCGCCGCGTGAGTCGTTTCCGGTGTGGGTTCATGTCTACTGGCGCGAGAAGTGTGAGATCCCTAGGTTCCTGGCAATGGAAGCGATATTGTCAAAACAGCGTGCACACCACGGTGGCTTTTAGATTTCAGATAATTAGACGCGACAGCATTCCTGTGCATATGATTCACCGAAGCCATGAATATCGCGTGTAAGAATGTACGGTCTCGGCTTTAAAAACGCGCAGAATGCCAACGCCAACATGATCGTCCGGGAGCCACAGTCAAGTTGCTTCATTTCCTGTCCCGTTGATCACCGATGGTACCCGATATGGAGATCGCCGTAAGCGACAATGCCGCGCTATCGCTCGGGGGGGGGGGGGGGGGGGAGTCCGGGTTCGGATTGGTGGCTGGTTGGTGGTGTCCGGTCGGCGCGGTGCTCCAATTCCGGGCATCACTCGTGGTCAGGAGGGCGGTTCTCTGGGCCCGGGATGTAGCAATAACTGAGAACGGGCGATGACGAGGGCGCATTCTTAACATGGAACTACAATGGTTAAGGTGGTTGTACAGGACAGGGCTCTACTGAAACGCCTTCCTGGCGTTCCCCACCGTTTTCCAATGATCTTTAGAGCTACTCGAACTAGGTAATATCATGATGTCGTAAAGCAGCATTTCGGCGCCAACCACTGCACAGCAAAAGCTGCGTCGCTGCTTCTGCTGTGTAGGTTTGGACTACCGGACTGCAGCGCCGGGCTTGGAGTGCTGGCTCCCGGTAATCCACCGTGAGGAGACATTTTTGCGGACATCGTTGCAGATAAAGCGATCGGTTTGTGAAAAGATCACGTAAAACACGCATTACATTCCAACTGATGCCCTCGGAAACATCTTTTGGCAGGGCCAGTCCCTGGCGCGTGTTTCTGCGGCGGTACATGCTGGCAACGAGTCTGTAACGCTGGCATACTGCAGACGCGAAAGCTGCGCAGCGCAACCTGCTGTCTCGGATTCCTAGATTGACGACGCGTTTCGGGCTTACCACCTTTCAGTCATTAGTTCGGCGCTGTAGACCCGGACTGTCGTCTCTCGAGTGACTATCGCACATATCGCGGGGACCAGCGTGTTCAAAGCGGTCCAAACGTGTTCAGGGCATGAAACCTGCCGTGGGATATCTCCGAACTCGGAGAGCGACTCTTGCGTAGGCTCTCGACTGGACGGCGTATTGCGTGGTGTCGGGGTCCCGAAGCGCTCATGCTTGGCCCAGCCTTTCATGCGTATATATATATATATATATATATATATATATATATATATATATGTAATATGCACCTTATCTAAAATTTAGATTTTATGATACGTGTGTATTGTATATTATAGAATAGAAAGAGAGAGAGGAGAGAGAGAGAGAGAGAGAGAGAGAGAGAGAGAGAGAGGAGAGAGAGATTGAGAGAGAGAGAGATGAGAGGAGAGAGAGAGAGAGAGGGAGAGGGAGAGAGAGGGAGAGGGAGAGGGAGAGGGGAGAGGGAGGGGAGAGGGAGAGGGAGAGGGAGAGAGGAGGAGGGAGAGGGATGAGGAGAGGGAGAGAGGGAGAGAGGAGAGGGAGAGGGAGAGGGAGAGGAGAGGAGAGGGAGAGGGAGATTTATATCGTACTTGCATAATGCTATTTTCGGGAAACAACACAACAAGCTTCACTGGAGTGTCTGTCGTCGCCCAAACTCTTGTTCTGTCCCGTATGTTTTTTTTTCTGTTTCTGTCGTGCACGCGCAGCTCTGGGACCACCGCAACGCACTCCGGTCCCACGGGAGTGCTGTGACCTGAGCTGCAGGGCACGTGCTCTGGTCGATGATATCGGGAAAGGACTGATGGCGATGTTGGGCCTGCTGAAAGCGATCACGACATATTCAATAAATCACGGTTGGCGTTGTTCGTGCCGCGAACACTGGACCGTCGCTGGTCAGGATTCGTCGGCGACGTTGCTTATGGCGCCGCGCCACGCACGAGACGCGCAACTCAGATGCGCGTGCGATGCACGCAGCTGCTCGTGACTCAGACGCGGTCCCGTGTTGGTGAATGCCGTCAGGTTTTGAACTCGGCAGCCAGTTGTGATGGTGCCGATGAAATTGAGTACTAGCCGCGACATTATTCACAGGCGCCACCGCGGGACGATGGTCCGTTGCGTCGTGGGCTGGGGCAGTGAATCATAGGCGCGTGGTCGATACCCATACTGGAAGTTTCGTCGACATTACATCAAGGCTTGTCTGGGTGCCGGCGAGGGCGTTTCAGACCTCAGG